CACACTCGTATCTTCTTCCAGTTGAGGAAGTGAAGCTGAGAGAGGAGTTGGGATGTGCTAACGGCCACTCTGGTTCCCTCATCTCCACCCCACTAACCTGGCCTGTGCTGGAATGAGGAGTTTGGGCCACCGCAGAGACCTGCATGGTTAAAGCAAGTATCAGGGTCTTCAAGACTGCAAATCATGGCGAATGGAGGTAGGGGGTGGGGTGGGCATGGGTGGGGCTCTAACCCTGCAGCACATACGAGCAGGGACCCATCTGCAGCTATAGAAGCTCTCTTTCTAAACTACGCACGATGCAATGTAGCATCCTTCACCGCCCAACCCATGGGCCCCATGTACCCCGGGAAAGGGGAGTCAAAGCCCGCACAGGCTCCTCTGCCTCCGCTCCTCGCCTTGCCTCAGTTGTCCCACACTCCAGATGAAGCGGACTGCCTCCCACAAACCACCGAGGGCACTGTGGAGAACGGGGAGAAAGTGGTTACTGTGTCCGGCTCAACAGAGAAATTAAGCCCCGAGGCTTCTCTGGTGCTTCTCCTACCCACGGAGGCCAGAAGAGGGTCTAACCCTTGCCTGATTTAATGAGCACCGAGGCCTGCTGGGTGGAGACGCCTACAGCCCCCTGCCCCCACCCTGTCCCTACATCTCAGATTCCTGAGCAATTCACTCCAACCCTCACCCTCTTGGCAGATCTTGCTCTAATGCTCAACTAATAGTTCTCTGTTTCAGGCGCCATCCAAACACATCCTATAAATCAGAATCCAATTACTGTGGTAAGAAAATTGGAAGCAAATTTAATAAACTCGGACCCCTCCCACAAACGGATCCTTCACTCTTTTCTTTTCACTAATGAGAACTCTTTAAGGGAAAAAGCCTTTTCCCCTTAACTCTGTCTGCTCTCTCAATTCGTCATAGGAGGCCCCTGAGGGTCAAAGAAGACTGGGGCGGGGTGAAGGGGGCTTCTTTTAGCTCTTCTTTTCCTCTCTGCTTGTAAAGCAGGCAAGAGATAGTGGTCAAAGATCTTTTCATTCCTATTCTCCTTTCCATTTGTTCAGTAAATATTTACTGAATTCTGATCACATGACCGGCACTGTAACAGACTGTTACTCAACCTAGAGGGCAAATGATGTCCTAACTAGTAGGACACTAGCTGCAAGGCATGGTGGGAACACACACGGTGGCCCAGTGGGCACCAAGCCCATATCCATGAAGTCGGGCCCCATTAGGAGCCAGAAGCCTAGTGTGGGCCAATAGCACAGGGGCTAGGGATGGGGGCTAGGGGCAGACTCTTGTGGAGGTGATGCCAATTGTCAAGAAAATGGGGGGAGGGAGGTAATAGAGGATTGAGGAATGGAAGAAGACAGGGAGGCAGGAAGGAACCAGAAACGCCAGAGTCTCTACCGGACCACAGACAGAAATCCTGTCACCTGGACAGCACAGGCTGCTGCAAGGCAGCAATAAGGCAGGTGGGTGGCCTTATTCCAGGGCTCTACCCTCTACTTAGTCCCTGAGCCTTTCTGATGAACCAACCCATCCACGGACTTTCTCTAGGCCTCAACAGCAAGCCACCGAGCAAGCGCACACTTTGTAGTTTTGACATGAGCAGGTCTCAGAATCGCCTGCAGTGCTTGCTGAGCCAGATTGCTGGGCTCTACCTTCAAAGTTTTCTGGGTGAGGCCTAAGAATGTGTTTCTAACAACTTCCCAAGTGATGCTCGTGTAGGGAACCAGACTTTCTTGCTATCTAATATAGGACCCATGGGCCAGTGGCATTTGTCCTGGGAGCTTTATTAGAAATACCAAATCTTGGGTCCCAAACCAGACCTATTGAATCAGACTGCAACAGGACCCTCGCATGATGTGGATTTTTGATTCTTCAGCTGATTAAAGTACCATCCTGCCCTCATCCATGTTGTAATAGCACAACTGACATCTTTTGAGTATTAACTTTGAAGTACATCAACACTTTATGCATATTTTACTTGATCTTTGATAAAAACCAAATTAGGATTATTGTTAATCCTCCTCCCCCCCACTTTTCAAAAGGGAAACCCGAAGCATGGAAAAGGTGGACAATTTAAGTTCATTCAGGTTGGCAACAGCACAGCCAGGATAGGAAACAAGACAGTCTGATCCCAGAGTCCCTGTCCTCAACCTGGGCTTAACTCGACAGAGAGACTCTGGCCCTGACTTGTTGCTGGTGATGGGGTCAGTAATACATTCTTAAATTTCACTTCTGATAAACTGGTAAAAAGCAGGGCCAGATTTACAGTAATGACCCTCACTGCAATTTTGTCCCCCAGGGGACACATGACAATTGCTGGAAGCATTTCTGGTTGCTAAACCTTGGAAGTGAGGGTGCTACTGGAGCCTAGTTATACAGAGGCCAGGGATATTGCTAAAACCTACAAAGCACAGGACCAACACCTCCGGAAGTAGTATCCTGCCCCATATGTCGGCAGTGCTGCAGATCCTTGGTCTACGGGGTGCTGGTCACTGGCAGCCACAGCTGGTCAGAACCAAAGCAGGCAGGACCCAAATATGAGCCCCAGGGCTCTATCAGCCCAGGCAGGTGAGCCCCAGGCACTGAATCTGGATGAAGTCAGCAGATAGCAGGGAGACTGGAGTCACAGAAGCATTAAGGAACTTAGCTGGTGACTCCAACTTTATGGCCACCGTTTCCTTGAACACCAAGGACAGGACAAGGGAGATCCTGTAGCTAGAAGGCACTACCCAAATGGCTCATCTGAGGGGGGAACACAGGACAGTGTGGCAGCCTCTGAGTCTCCTTACTACAAGGGGGAAATCAGTAGGCAGCAGATCCCTACCAAATACAAATATGGCCTCTATTCAGTCCCTGAGACTAAGTGAGAGACGATCCAGTGGGATTTGAGCCTGACATATCAGTACCCCCAGGTGGTGGGTGGCCCTGGGCACCTGCTCTGATTCTGATTCCCTGTTCTTTCTGAGTTTCATAAAGCTGAAATTCTCTGAGTAACACAATGGAAGCTCCTGCAGGGCAAGGCTGTTGCCCTGAGGCAGACATATGCCTGGTACACTTTCCCTTTTGTCTCCCCAAAGGGTGTCTCATTCTGTCTAAATCCTCTCTACCATTCTTGCTGCACTCCCAGAAGGTCACAGTTCCTTAACAGATAAAGGGAGTCCACCAGGTTCTCTGCAAAGCCTAGAGCTGAGCTGGTGAGCTGGGCTCCTTGGGGACAGGCGCAGTTCTTCCTCACTTACCACTGCATATGTATCTGGCCCTGTAAAACTTTCATTTCTGCCTCTCAGATCAGAGAGAAGTGAGTGTGCAGGAAACAGTCCTGCTCTGGGTATCCCCAGCTGACTGCCTGCTCCATGAGCTCACAGTACTTCCTTTCTGCAGCGGGGAGCAGTCACAGGTGTCTCCCAAAGCACTCTCACCCTGATGTACCTGCTGCTTTCTGTCTAGCAGGGGTCCCTCAGCTGCCTGTCTCCTCCCTCTTCCCTGCTCTCCTATATGTAGTTTCTGATCAGAGAAATAAAAGAACCTGATATTTCAATATAATTCTCTCACATGCCAAGGAGCAGGGTAAGTCCGGGGGTATTTAAATAGAAGGAATTGAAATAAAACTCTGATTTAAGATGCTTTTAAGCCAGCAAAAGGGAAGAGGCACGGCCCGTGTCCTGGGTCTCTGGCTGTTCGGGCACCAGACACTGCCTCTAAGGAAGAGTTTCATGAGGGCAGGGCTGTTCGGTATTCACAGACTGTTAGAGATAGAAGATGCCAGAATATCATCCGGTTCATGTCTATGTAATATGTATGGGGAAACCAAGATTCCACCTACTTTTGGGAATGCTGGTGATTAACAAGTCAAGGCCTCAGAGGATACATGCGTATAAGACAAGGTTTCTGAGTTGTGCAACCTAGCTGGGGAAATGGAGTCCACAAGCTTTCATATATTAATTTAAGAACCACCAGAGAAATCAGTCTCTGAAGTCTCTGAAGGCATGGAAATTCTTACTTCCCTGCAGCACAAAAATCCCAATTTCCATAAGGTGGCCACCCACAGATCCAAGCACATATACCTAGTTAAGAAGCCAATGCCAGGGCCTTAGTCTCTCAGTACACAATGCCTTCAACATACCCTACTCCCTCCAATGGCCGTCCTGCTGTTTGGGGCTGGTGCAACGTCAGTTACCTACAGCAGATAGGAAATGTGCCCACACTACTGCTTGGCAGCTCTGGGCCCTTGGGTGGAAGCCAGGAGGTGGGAGAGGAGTGCTAGACTCGGGACTCCTTGCTTGCTCAGGCCTCTGCAGAAAGCTCATGGCCACTCCATGAACGGCTAGCCATGAGACAAAGGGTCTTCACAGAGTTTCTTTTTCCTGGGAAACAAAGCTTTCTACTGGACCCAGTCTCTGCTGCCCAGTGAAGGTGTGGCCTCACCAAGGATGTGGCAGAAGGGAGGCTGTGTGAAAGGGCCCTTGGCAGATAGACTGGGGAACCAATGACAAGAGGCCCCTCAGCTTCTCTTCCCGAATTCAAGATGCCCAGGGCAGTCACAAGAAAGGCCTGTCCCAGAGTCAAGAGAGGCACCAGCCTGACTCCTTGGGGTTCGTCCATCCTGCTCTCCCATGAAAGTCATGCAGGGACATGGAAATCTACCAAGGAAAAACAGCTACAGCAAATCATTTTTAGGGCTCCAGGAGTTTACAGCAAGTGTCACCTGGGGTGACTACCAGATGAGGGGAAAGGTGTACATCTCATCCCCTCCAATCCCCTAACGGAAAGGAGGGGGATCCTTTGGGATGTCTTTTGGCAATCAGCAGCACAGATGAGGTAAATTACTACATCATCTTCCCTTTAGTGTCCACTGGGGAACAAACGGTCTACCTTCGTCAACTCTTAGCACCCGCCACTACACACAGCAGGCCCTCAAATCCAGCCAGCTGTGGATCTGTCCAGACTGCAGGGAGGGGAGGGGAGGGGGTAACAGTCCGGGCAAAGGAGGGAGATACCTGGGATGGCGAGTGTCCGGGACAGCCCGATTGCTGGAGATCCGCTCGCTCTCTCTCTGGTTGAAAGCATACAGCTTATAGGGGTCGTCACCAACACGCCACTTTTTGGCATTCAGATACCGTCGTTCATCAAACTGCTCCCATAGGTCGTCCCAGTCAGCATCCGAAGGCTGTGTGTGACATGAATAGAGTCCGTGAGAATGGTCCGCTGCCCTCTGCTAGCCACCTGCCCACTTCTCAGCACACAACCACAGAGACCAGGCTCGTTCTAGTAACACTGGGCCCAAAGATGAGGCCAGAGACAGAACGTTAACAATTCCATCAGCAGCAGTAATAAACAGCACAGTGCCAATAGTGGCCACTACCATTTACCGAGTGTCATATTCTGGGCTCTGCTCCAGAACCCGGATTCACACCACTTCGTGTCATTTTCACAGCATTATGAGATGGAACCGCTCACACTCCCACTATACAGATGAGAAAACAGCTCCCATAGGTGAGTACCTTGCCCAAGATCCCACAATTGGGAAGTGGCAGGGCTGGGTCCTGACCCCACAAGCCATCTCTGTCCAGGACAACTTGAGGGCTCAGGACACAGTGGCCGACACAGGCCAGGTCTGCAATGACACCATCAGCTGCACCTCTGGTGTGGCTGCAACAAGAAGCAGGCCATCCATTTCTAACACTGTGCTACCTGCCAGGATCCCGGAGCCATTTCTTCCTTCAACTCAAGAGTTTGTGCCTATTTTAGGGAGGCATCGATGGGAGAGTGAGACAGGACCTTGGCTGTATGAAACTGTATGTGGACACAGCATTTCAGAACGTGGAAGGCGGACTCTGTACTTATATATTCACGAAGCCCCTCTGGGCTGGGCTGCTGAGCTTCCAGAAAGGTCCTTGGCCTGTCTGAGGTCATTCACTGGTAAGAGGCAGCGGCCAGGTCACATCAGGAAGAGGCTGCCTCCTCACCAGAACCCAGAGTTCTTGGTTCTCCCATCCACACCAGCTCCACAGCCAACAGAGACACTGCGTCCAGCCAGAGGGGCTGAGGTTCCTGACCTTGGTAAGCTGGAAGCTTGAGTTGAGCAGCCACCTCCCAAGGTTGCTCTCACTCTCCAGGGGCGGGGGGCAGTTGTATTAAAAACAAAGCTTAGATATTTCAGGTTCATCTAACCATGCATGCCGTGTCAAAGACCCGAGCAGAGCAGCCGTAGGGGTGGGGGTGTTCTGCCCTGGAACAGAAGGGTTGCTGTCCTGGGCCTGGCATGTCACTGAGGATGAGCTGTTCATTCATGTGTTACTCACCCCAGTTGTCATGCAAATGTCTCACACTGCGCAGGTTTTAATGGAGCAGAAAGCCACCACCCCAACAGAACAAGACAACCATTCCTGCATGCAGGAAGCTTGAGTGGGAAAGCCCAGGTCAGGCTCAGCAGACATCGGCACAGGCATTTGGCCCCTGTAGCAGGTAGGAGGGGCAGGGCCAGGCTGCATGTATATCTCAGGCACTGAGTGATTTTATCTGGTAATTGATCTCTCTCTCCCTCTTGGTTATCTCCTTCTGAAACAGTCTTCCCTTGCTAATATCACAAAATGAAGCACTGGAACTAGTGATTTTTATCCAATAATTGATTTTGATTTTATTAACATCCAGTGATACTATTGCTTCAGAATATGCCAGGGGGAACTTAGATGTGGGCGTGAAACCCCAAGCCTACGCCGTGCGCTGTCACTCCTGGCTGGAGCATCATCCTGGGGCCACCCTGGCATCCTGTCCTCGTGGGAAGGGCCACAGAACTGTCTTCTGGCTCGATGCCAATTTAACTCACTGTAATTTCATAAATAGGTTCTGAGCCCTTCTGGTGCCACAAGCTAGGGAGCAGGGAGAAGGATACACAGCTCCTGCCCTCAGGGGAATGCAGCACCACAGAGACACCCTCGGAGATTCCTACCTACCCCGCACCACCAGGTGAGTCTGATCACACAAGATCAATGGTGATGCTGTGCAAGCACAGAGGAGTGAAGGAAATAGGGGACCGCTTCTTGGATGAGGTTTCAAGTGAGTTAGACTTTAAAAGGGTGAGAAGGGGCTTTTACTTTGCTTAAGGAATGTGGGGGGCATGTAGCAAAAAGCTGGAGAAAAGGCAGTACATTACTCAGGGGCTTTAGTGTAACAAAGTTAATAGGGTGTGTGTGTGTGTGTGTCTGTGTGTGTGTGTCTGTGTGTGTATCTCAGTTTATATAGAAAAAGATCATAAGGCTCTGGATCATGTGATTATGGAGGCTGACATGTGCCACAATCTGTGGTGGTCATGCTAGAGGCCCAAAAAGAGATGACCTCTTTGTCAGTTCAAGTCCAAAGGTAAGAAAAAGGCAGTTCCAGGACAGCCAGGGAAGAATTCCCTCTGTTTCCCTGCTCTCTCAGCTCCCTCAGGGCTGGGTGGGGCCTCACCCCAAAGGGAGGGTGGTCTGCCTAGTGCAGGCTCCCTAGGCCCTGGCCAGTCTCATCCAGAAACACCTCTCAGACACTCGGGACGGGAAGAGTGTCTGAACCAGTGCCTGGTCCAGTCTAGTCCATGCTGGTGTGAAATCAACCACCCCAGGAAGCAAGTCCAGACACAGAGTATCTGTCTAGGGAACGGTTAGCTTGGGGATAGGGAGCCTGGGACGCGGACTGCAAAGATGACAAGAGTGAAGGGGAAACTCCAAAACACAGGTGCACCTTAGGAAGCAGACCATGGAGAAATGTCTCTGGCCACACGTGTGGGATGGAGTAGAGGAGGGAGATCTACTACAGAAGCCAGTGGGGAGGTGACCTCAATAATCTAACCTGATGCCCAGAGTGGGACTGCGCTGCGTGCCACTGATGGCTTCACTCATCTTCTGGGGAAGCAGAAGGAGGGGCAGGCCCCAGGGCAACTGGAAGGGGCTAGAAAGAGGAGCTGTAGCACTGTCTTCCTCTTCAAGTCCCCTACTCTCTGTTCATGTCAGAGGGACAGGGCCAAGTGGGCCTGAGGCCAGTGGCTTCCCAGCCTGGTTTTCCCCATCCACGGGGTAGCCAAGCTTACCTAGCACCCCCCGCAGGAGCTGCCTCCTGGGTGAAGGTGCTGTGAAAACTCAGCTGGAATTCTGGCCCCAGAAAGCCACAGCAGCAGCCAGGATGGCAAGAAAAATTGCATACACGGTTGAGGGAAGGCATCCTTGGCAGGGACTATTCCCTTCGGCGTGTCACATGTACAGAGCTCGCTCACAGACTGCTGCACTGAGACCTCTTCAGGGGCACAGCCTGCCCTAAAGGCTGGGCTTTCCTACTGTAACGTCAAATGTATTAAATAACGGCAAAGGTGTGTTTAAAACGGGGACTCTACATTTAATACCTTACAGGTGCACACACATTGTCACAGACTCCTCGCACAGCCCCATCTGTGAAGGAAGGGATGGGATTAGAGGAGCGATGGGATTAGAGTGGCTTGCCCAAGTGCACAGCTACCAGGGGATGAAACCGCTGATGCAATCCTCCCAAAGAGCCCCTGCCACCAGACTGGAACAGCAGGGCATAAACGTGCACCAAAGAACTGAGCCGCTCTACACTGACATTAGATGAGTCCCACAAGGGATTTAAACCCCATGCACCCCTTCTGCACCATGGTATGGAAAGGGGGACACCCCCCCCATGAAGGCTTTCAATCAAGGTTTCACAGGAGAAGCTGTTCTGTGAAAATGCCGGCCACTTGCTGGGCACTTCTTGCGCCGTACTTCATTTTCACAGGAGAGAAAACTTCCCTCTTTACGTATCATGTTCCCATGAAGAATTCTAAGAAAATGAAAGCCTAGTGCAGAGCTAGACAGAGAAGCCACAGCAGGAAAGCCATTCCCCTCTCCACCACAGGCACGACTGTAAACCTTGGAAACACTTCCAAGGATCTCTGGCTTCCCTCCCCACGGGACTAACCCCTTGCCCACTGCGGGGCTGTGGGTGCTTTACCAGTGTGCAGGCTGCCGGGTGTACAGTCATGACCTGCCCCTCCAGCCTGTGTTTCCCCCTCCAATGGTGCAGGCTATCCAGGCCTTCTTGCTCCTACATAGGAAGTGAGCACCAGGCCTGCCTGGTGAAGTCCATCTGAGGCCTGCCTCACCAGCTCCCCTACAGGCACTCCTGGGTGTTCTGGTCCTTCTGTCCAGTTTCAAAGTAGGGACAATTCCATTCTCTGTGCCATTGTTGCCAAAGGTTTGGCCTTGGCCATTGGAGGGTGCCTGCTTGCCTCAAATTATGGCATTAGTGGGAAATAATAGTTTCCCATTTGTTTGCTGATTCCTCATTGCTTCCCTGACCCTGTATTAGTCAGGGTTCTTCAGAAAAATTAAAAACAAACCAAGAGTCAGTCTGTCTGTGTCTCTGTCTCTCTGTCTCTGTCTCTCTTTCTGTGTGTGTGTGTGTGTTTGTGTACAGAGTGATACGGGAAGAGAGAAAAGGGATGGGAGGGTGAGAGAACAAGAAAGAGAAATTGGCTACTTTTAAGGAACTGGCTTGTGAAATTGTGACTTGGCAGCCAGAGACCAAAGGTAGCCTTTGCTGGCAGAATTCCGAATTCCTTCTTGCTGGGTGGAGATCAGTCTGTCTCTAAGGCCTTCGACTGATGGATGAGGCCTACCCACATTATGTAGAGTGATCTGCTTTCCTTAAAGTCACTGGCTTATATGTGAATGTCATCTCAAAAATGCCCTCAGGAAAAAAAAATTCAGAAGAAAGAATACTTTTTCTTTTTTGAACCGGGGATCTAACTCAACCTTGCCCTTGCAAAGCAGACACTGTGCCACTGAGCTAAATCCCCGGCCCAAGAATAACGTTTGACTGAAGACCTGGGCACAATGGCCCATCACAGCTCCCCGCTGTCAGGACCTCAGAGGGAAGGACCAAGAAAGGGGTACCGAGGGGTTATTTCAAGCCCTCGTAAAGCTAAAATACTGTAGAAATTACACCTCAAGTTTTCAAGTAAGGAAGTTGAGGCATGGGGTAGATATATGATTTACTCAAGTTCACAGAACCAGCAAGTATCTGCTCAAAGTCTATACTGATTCCCCTTTTTACCAACAGATGTGCTTTCAGGCCAGCCGTGGGCTCCAGGACTTCAGCCTCCAGCTCCCCAGCACCAGCCGGAGCCCTCCTGCT